CTGAGGCTAAGCTCAATCAGGTCAGAATAGTAACATGCAAGCAAGCCAGGAAAATATTGCGATGTGATGGCTTGCATGTATTGGTGGAAATAGCCCTACATTATCTTTCTGAACTTTTGCCATACAAATATCATTGTGAAATTGCTCAGCATTGTGAGTAATTGGATAATCACCATATTAACGAATTCAGATGAGTTTCTCCTACTCACACTCATACCGCCTTGAAGTAACGAGCTTGTTCGTAACGGGGAAGATTTGAAATGTGGTTTTTGGTGTCAGTTGGCGGGAGCCAACTCAGCCGACCCTCAGTAGAGTTCTAGCCAAGTCATCTTCCAGGCCATAGTCATCCCAGACCATACTCTGTCGTCCTTACCTCCGCACAATGTCGTCCCTTGGGATTGCCGCCGCCATGACCGTCACTTCCGCCGCTCCTCCTCTCTCCGTTAGCGCCGCCTTCACTTGTAAGCTTGGAGCTTCTGTTTTGTTGAATTTATTAGAAAAGGCGGCTCGATCGCTTCTGAGTATGCTTTTGACTCGTGATTCAATTCGATCCGTGCCGCCAGTCCACTCGAGATCCTCCGCATTACCTAAATCTCGAGTAGGCGGGTTTGAATCTCCTAAAAAAGCCGCCCGCATTACCTAGATGTCGAGTAACGCGCCGACTCGGCGGAGGTTCCGAAAACGATGCTGCAAACTATGCCTGAGCTAACATTGACTGGTGCTATTAAGCCGCTCATTTTTTTAAGCGCCTCAACAATAGACTCGAGCTAGCAATAACTGTTACTATCATGAAACCACTCAATCCGCGCCCGTCGCGTTAGAAGTGATCATGACAACGCATAATGAGCAAAGTTTGTCATAACAATTTGTTGGATCCCATCCCTTACCCATGTTTCTCTGTCTTTCCCTTCGCTTCTCCTTCTCTCCTCTGCCTCTCCTCATCCATCCTCCTCACTTCCGTCCCCCTTACCCCACCCCATCCCTCCCATCGTCCCCACCATTCCACCACCCTTGTCGCCCCCACCGCCCCCATCGAGCAGCCAAAACCTCCCCACCCTCGCAGCAGCGCATCGCCGCGCCACGCCAGCGCGCCTCCTTCGCATCTCCTTCTGCCACGTCATCATCACAACCACCACCACCATCACCATCATCATCCCATCAGCAGCAGCAGCAGCAGGCATCAAGAGAGCACCGCACAGGAGCACAGCAAGGGCACGCAGCAACCATGGCTGCATGCGCTGCTGCAGTGCTCTCTGCCACTCTGCTCTGTACGTATCTGCCTGTCCTATCCACATGCTGTATCGTGACACACATAGTCCATCCGGGGAATCTTTCCAGAGGAATGTTCCCAGAAGAATATTCCTAGAGGAATCTTCGCCTAGGAATCTTCCCAGAGGGACCTTCCCAGCATAGTCACCAGAGAGCAGCAGTACACCTCTTGTGCGCTCTTTCCCTTCTTGCTTTTTGCCCCTTCTTTCTAGACCATTTCGGAAACCCTTCTTCCTCGATTGTTTCTTCTCACTATCCCTGCACTTACCCTCACCTCGCCTGCAGTGCAGCAGTCACCTCTTGCTCAGGACGTCTCCTGCTCATCCCTCCCTTTCTCTCCTTACCATGTAACCACTCTTCCCTCCCTCCACTTCCTTTACCTCCTTCCCATGTAACCTCTTCCCTTCCCCCATTTCCTTTACCTCCTCCCCACGTAATCTCTACCCTGCCCACATTCTATTCACCTGCAGGGCAGCAACCCGCTTTAGCGCAGGACGTCTCCATATCATCACCAGCAGCAGCGGTGTTTGAGCGCACGTGTGCCGGCTGCCATGCTGGGGGAGGCAACCTGCTCAAGCCGGTACGTTGTTACAACACACACGCCAGCAGCCTAGGCCTCAATCCCTACTTATCGTCCCCATTGTCACCAGCAGCAGTGTTTGAGCGCACGTGTGCCGGCTGCCATGCTGGCAACCTGCTCAAGCCGGTACGTTGTTGAAACAGGCAGAGTGGCAGGACCCCTCACCCCCACCCCTCCCCAGCCTTCTCCCGCCAAAATCAGCAGCAGCAGTGTTTGAGCGCATGTGTGTTGCTTGCTGCCATGCTGGTGGGGGAAACCTGCTTAAGCCGGTATGTCGTTTAAGCCAGGGACCCTAGCAGCCTAGGCCTCACTCCCTCCCCGTCGCCCCCGTCGCGGCCAGCAGCAGCAGTGTATGAGCGCATGTGTGTTGCTCGCTTCCATGCTGGTGGGGGGAACCTGCTTAAGCCGGTATGTCGTTAGGGTAGACACAATTCCAAGCCCCCCCCCACCTAAAAACACCTACCACACATGTGCCGCTATGGCAGCTGCCAGCCTCTCCTCTCAAGGACCCAACTGTTTCCCCTCTCCACACAATCCCATGCTGTACTGCTCTGTCACTCCTGGGTTGCTACTCACTCCCTCCCCCTCACATTAATGATCCGGTTGAACCGTCACCCACTCCTGGTATGCTTCGAACGTTTCACACCCCAATACTTGCGTGTTTTCGTCCCCTCCTCTTCTTTCCTCTCGCCTGTTCTGTTTCTTCCACTCCGCAGGGTGCAGGCCTCTCACTCGCAGCACCTCCTCCTTGAGGGAGGGTGCTGGCCTCTCACTCGCAGCACCTCCTCCTTGAGGGAGGGTGCTGGCCTCTCACTCGCAGCACCTCCTCCTTGAGGGAGGGTGCTGGCCTCTCACTCGCAGCACCTCCTCCTTGAGGGAGGGTGCAGGCCTCTCACTCGCAGCACCTCCTCCTTGAGGGAGGGTGCTGGCCTCTCACTCGCAGCACCTCCTCCTTGAGGGAGGGTGCTGGCCTCTCACTCGCAGCACCTCCTCCTTGAGGGAGGGTGCTGGCCTCTCACTCGCAGCACCTCCTCCTTGAGGGAGGGTGCTGGCCTCTCACTCGCAGCACCTCCTCCTTGAGGGAGGGTGCTGGCCTCTCACTCGCAGCACCTCCTCCTTGAGGGAGGGTGCTGGCCTCTCACTCGCAGCACCTCCTCCTTGAGGGAGGGTGCTGGCCTCTCACTCGCAGCACCTCCTCCTTGAGGGAGGGTGCTGGCCTCTCACTCGCAGCACCTCCTCCTTGAGGGAGGGTGCTGGCCTCTCACTCGCAGCACCTCCTCCTTGAGGGAGGGTGCTGGCCTCTCACTCGCAGCACCTCCTCCTTGAGGGAGGGTGCTGGCCTCTCACTCGCAGCACCTCCTCCTTGAGGGAGGGTGCTGGCCTCTCACTCGCAGCACCTCCTCCTTGAGGGAGGGTGCTGGCCTCTCACTCGCAGCACCTCCTCCTTGAGGGAGGGTGCTGGCCTCTCACTCGCAGCACCTCCTCCTTGAGGGAGGGTGCTGGCCTCTCACTCGCAGCACCTCCTCCTTGAGGGAGGGTGCTGGCCTCTCACTCGCAGCACCTCCTCCTTGAGGGAGGGTGCTGGCCTCTCACTCGCAGCACCTCCTCCTTGAGGGAGGGTGCTGGCCTCTCACTCGCAGCACCTCCTCCTTGAGGGAGGGTGCTGGCCTCTCACTCGCAGCACCTCCTCCTTGAGGGAGGGTGCTGGCCTCTCACTCGCAGCACCTCCTCCTTGAGGGAGGGTGCTGGCCTCTCACTCGCAGCACCTCCTCCTTGAGGGAGGGTGCTGGCCTCTCACTCGCAGCACCTCCTCCTTGAGGGAGGGTGCTGGCCTCTCACTCGCAGCACCTCCTCCTTGAGGGAGGGTGCTGGCCTCTCACTCGCAGCACCTCCTCCTTGAGGGAGGGTGCTGGCCTCTCACTCGCAGCACCTCCTCCTTGAGGGAGGGTGCTGGCCTCTCACTCGCAGCACCTCCTCCTTGAGGGAGGGTGCTGGCCTCTCACTCGCAGCACCTCCTCCTTGAGGGAGGGTGCTGGCCTCTCACTCGCAGCACCTCCTCCTTGAGGGAGGGTGCTGGCCTCTCACTCGCAGCACCTCCTCCTTGAGGGAGGGTGCTGGCCTCTCACTCGCAGCACCTCCTCCTTGAGGGAGGGTGCTGGCCTCTCACTCGCAGCACCTCCTCCTTGAGGGAGGGTGCAGGCCTCTCACTCGCAGCACCTCCTCCTTGAGGGAGGGTGCTGGCCTCTCACTCGCAGCACCTCCTCCTTGAGGGAGGGTGCTGGCCTCTCACTCGCAGCACCTCCTCCTTGAGGGAGGGTGCTGGCCTCTCACTCGCAGCACCTCCTCCTTGAGGGAGGGTGCTGGCCTCTCACTCGCAGCACCTCCTCCTTGAGGGAGGGTGCTGGCCTCTCACTCGCAGCACCTCCTCCTTGAGGGAGGGTGCTGGCCTCTCACTCGCAGCACCTCCTCCTTGAGGGAGGGTGCTGGCCTCTCACTCGCAGCACCTCCTCCTTGAGGGAGGGTGCTGGCCTCTCACTCGCAGCACCTCCTCCTTGAGGGAGGGTGCTGGCCTCTCACTCGCAGCACCTCCTCCTTGAGGGAGGGTGCTGGCCTCTCACTCGCAGCACCTCCTCCTTGAGGGAGGGTGCTGGCCTCTCACTCGCAGCACCTCCTCCTTGAGGGAGGGTGCTGGCCTCTCACTCGCAGCACCTCCTCCTTGAGGGAGGGTGCTGGCCTCTCACTCGCAGCACCTCCTCCTTGAGGGAGGGTGCTGGCCTCTCACTCGCAGCACCTCCTCCTTGAGGGAGGGTGCTGGCCTCTCACTCGCAGCACCTCCTCCTTGAGGGAGGGTGCTGGCCTCTCACTCGCAGCACCTCCTCCTTGAGGGAGGGTGCTGGCCTCTCACTCGCAGCACCTCCTCCTTGAGGGAGGGTGCTGGCCTCTCACTCGCAGCACCTCCTCCTTGAGGGAGGGTGCTGGCCTCTCACTCGCAGCACCTCCTCCTCGAGGGAGGGTGCTGGCCTCTCACTCGCAGCACCTCCTCCTCGAGGGAGGGTGCTGGCCTCTCACTCGCAGCACCTCCTCCTTGAGGGAGGGTGCTGGCCTCTCACTCGCAGCACCTCCTCCTTGAGGGAGGGTGCTGGCCTCTCACTCGCAGCACCTCCTCCTTGAGGGAGGGTGCTGGCCTCTCACTCGCAGCACCTCCTCCTTGAGGGAGGGTGCTGGCCTCTCACTCGCAGCACCTCCTCCTTGAGGGAGGGTGCTGGCCTCTCACTCGCAGCACCTCCTCCTTGAGGGAGGGTGCTGGCCTCTCACTCGCAGCACCTCCTCCTTGAGGGAGGGTGCTGGCCTCTCACTCGCAGCACCTCCTCCTTGAGGGAGGGTGCTGGCCTCTCACTCGCAGCACCTCCTCCTTGAGGGAGGGTGCTGGCCTCTCACTCGCAGCACCTCCTCCTTGAGGGAGGGTGCTGGCCTCTCACTCGCAGCACCTCCTCCTTGAGGGAGGGTGCTGGCCTCTCACTCGCAGCACCTCCTCCTTGAGGGAGGGTGCTGGCCTCTCACTCGCAGCACCTCCTCCTTGAGGGAGGGTGCTGGCCTCTCACTCGCAGCACCTCCTCCTTGAGGGAGGGTGCTGGCCTCTCACTCGCAGCACCTCCTCCTTGAGGGAGGGTGCTGGCCTCTCACTCGCAGCACCTCCTCCTTGAGGGAGGGTGCAGGCCTCTCACTCGCAGCACCTCCTCCTTGAGGGAGGGTGCTGGCCTCTCACTCGCAGCACCTCCTCCTTGAGGGAGGGTGCTGGCCTCTCACTCGCAGCACCTCCTCCTTGAGGGAGGGTGCTGGCCTCTCACTCGCAGCACCTCCTCCTTGAGGGAGGGTGCTGGCCTCTCACTCGCAGCACCTCCTCCTTGAGGGAGGGTGCTGGCCTCTCACTCGCAGCACCTCCTCCTTGAGGGAGGGTGCTGGCCTCTCACTCGCAGCACCTCCTCCTTGAGGGAGGGTGCTGGCCTCTCACTCGCAGCACCTCCTCCTTGAGGGAGGGTGCTGGCCTCTCACTCGCAGCACCTCCTCCTTGAGGGAGGGTGCAGGCCTCTCACTCGCAGCACCTCCTCCTTGAGGGAGGGTGCTGGCCTCTCACTCGCAGCACCTCCTCCTTGAGGGAGGGTGCTGGCCTCTCACTCGCAGCACCTCCTCCTTGAGGGAGGGTGCTGGCCTCTCACTCGCAGCACCTCCTCCTTGAGGGAGGGTGCTGGCCTCTCACTCGCAGCACCTCCTCCTTGAGGGAGGGTGCTGGCCTCTCACTCGCAGCACCTCCTCCTTGAGGGAGGGTGCTGGCCTCTCACTCGCAGCACCTCCTCCTTGAGGGAGGGTGCTGGCCTCTCACTCGCAGCACCTCCTCCTTGAGGGAGGGTGCTGGCCTCTCACTCGCAGCACCTCCTCCTTGAGGGAGGGTGCTGGCCTCTCACTCGCAGCACCTCCTCCTTGAGGGAGGGTGCTGGCCTCTCACTCGCAGCACCTCCTCCTTGAGGGAGGGTGCTGGCCTCTCACTCGCAGCACCTCCTCCTTGAGGGAGGGTGCTGGCCTCTCACTCGCAGCACCTCCTCCTTGAGGGAGGGTGCTGGCCTCTCACTCGCAGCACCTCCTCCTTGAGGGAGGGTGCTGGCCTCTCACTCGCAGCACCTCCTCCTTGAGGGAGGGTGCTGGCCTCTCACTCGCAGCACCTCCTCCTTGAGGGAGGGTGCTGGCCTCTCACTCGCAGCACCTCCTCCTTGAGGGAGGGTGCTGGCCTCTCACTCGCAGCACCTCCTCCTTGAGGGAGGGTGCTGGCCTCTCACTCGCAGCACCTCCTCCTTGAGGGAGGGTGCTGGCCTCTCACTCGCAGCACCTCCTCCTTGAGGGAGGGTGCTGGCCTCTCACTCGCAGCACCTCCTCCTTGAGGGAGGGTGCTGGCCTCTCACTCGCAGCACCTCCTCCTTGAGGGAGGGTGCTGGCCTCTCACTCGCAGCACCTCCTCCTTGAGGGAGGGTGCTGGCCTCTCACTCGCAGCACCTCCTCCTTGAGGGAGGGTGCTGGCCTCTCACTCGCAGCACCTCCTCCTTGAGGGAGGGTGCTGGCCTCTCACTCGCAGCACCTCCTCCTTGAGGGAGGGTGCTGGCCTCTCACTCGCAGCACCTCCTCCTTGAGGGAGGGTGCTGGCCTCTCACTCGCAGCACCTCCTCCTTGAGGGAGGGTGCTGGCCTCTCACTCGCAGCACCTCCTCCTTGAGGGAGGGTGCTGGCCTCTCACTCGCAGCACCTCCTCCTTGAGGGAGGGTGCTGGCCTCTCACTCGCAGCACCTCCTCCTTGAGGGAGGGTGCTGGCCTCTCACTCGCAGCACCTCCTCCTTGAGGGAGGGTGCTGGCCTCTCACTCGCAGCACCTCCTCCTTGAGGGAGGGTGCTGGCCTCTCACTCGCAGCACCTCCTCCTTGAGGGAGGGTGCTGGCCTCTCACTCGCAGCACCTCCTCCTTGAGGGAGGGTGCTGGCCTCTCACTCGCAGCACCTCCTCCTTGAGGGAGGGTGCTGGCCTCTCACTCGCAGCACCTCCTCCTTGAGGGAGGGTGCTGGCCTCTCACTCGCAGCACCTCCTCCTTGAGGGAGGGTGCTGGCCTCTCACTCGCAGCACCTCCTCCTTGAGGGAGGGTGCTGGCCTCTCACTCGCAGCACCTCCTCCTTGAGGGAGGGTGCTGGCCTCTCACTCGCAGCACCTCCTCCTTGAGGGAGGGTGCTGGCCTCTCACTCGCAGCACCTCCTCCTTGAGGGAGGGTGCTGGCCTCTCACTCGCAGCACCTCCTCCTTGAGGGAGGGTGCTGGCCTCTCACTCGCAGCACCTCCTCCTTGAGGGAGGGTGCTGGCCTCTCACTCGCAGCACCTCCTCCTTGAGGGAGGGTGCTGGCCTCTCACTCGCAGCACCTCCTCCTTGAGGGAGGGTGCTGGCCTCTCACTCGCAGCACCTCCTCCTTGAGGGAGGGTGCTGGCCTCTCACTCGCAGCACCTCCTCCTTGAGGGAGGGTGCTGGCCTCTCACTCGCAGCACCTCCTCCTTGAGGGAGGGTGCTGGCCTCTCACTCGCAGCACCTCCTCCTTGAGGGAGGGTGCTGGCCTCTCACTCGCAGCACCTCCTCCTTGAGGGAGGGTGCTGGCCTCTCACTCGCAGCACCTCCTCCTTGAGGGAGGGTGCTGGCCTCTCACTCGCAGCACCTCCTCCTTGAGGGAGGGTGCTGGCCTCTCACTCGCAGCACCTCCTCCTTGAGGGAGGGTGCTGGCCTCTCACTCGCAGCACCTCCTCCTTGAGGGAGGGTGCTGGCCTCTCACTCGCAGCACCTCCTCCTTGAGGGAGGGTGCTGGCCTCTCACTCGCAGCACCTCCTCCTTGAGGGAGGGTGCTGGCCTCTCACTCGCAGCACCTCCTCCTTGAGGGAGGGTGCTGGCCTCTCACTCGCAGCACCTCCTCCTTGAGGGAGGGTGCTGGCCTCTCACTCGCAGCACCTCCTCCTTGAGGGAGGGTGCTGGCCTCTCACTCGCAGCACCTCCTCCTTGAGGGAGGGTGCTGGCCTCTCACTCGCAGCACCTCCTCCTTGAGGGAGGGTGCTGGCCTCTCACTCGCAGCACCTCCTCCTTGAGGGAGGGTGCTGGCCTCTCACTCGCAGCACCTCCTCCTTGAGGGAGGGTGCTGGCCTCTCACTCGCAGCACCTCCTCCTTGAGGGAGGGTGCTGGCCTCTCACTCGCAGCACCTCCTCCTTGAGGGAGGGTGCTGGCCTCTCACTCGCAGCACCTCCTCCTTGAGGGAGGGTGCTGGCCTCTCACTCGCAGCACCTCCTCCTTGAGGGAGGGTGCTGGCCTCTCACTCGCAGCACCTCCTCCTTGAGGGAGGGTGCTGGCCTCTCACTCGCAGCACCTCCTCCTTGAGGGAGGGTGCTGGCCTCTCACTCGCAGCACCTCCTCCTTGAGGGAGGGTGCTGGCCTCTCACTCGCAGCACCTCCTCCTTGAGGGAGGGTGCTGGCCTCTCACTCGCAGCACCTCCTCCTTGAGGGAGGGTGCTGGCCTCTCACTCGCAGCACCTCCTCCTTGAGGGAGGGTGCTGGCCTCTCACTCGCAGCACCTCCTCCTTGAGGGAGGGTGCTGGCCTCTCACTCGCAGCACCTCCTCCTTGAGGGAGGGTGCTGGCCTCTCACTCGCAGCACCTCCTCCTTGAGGGAGGGTGCTGGCCTCTCACTCGCAGCACCTCCTCCTTGAGGGAGGGTGCTGGCCTCTCACTCGCAGCACCTCCTCCTTGAGGGAGGGTGCTGGCCTCTCACTCGCAGCACCTCCTCCTTGAGGGAGGGTGCTGGCCTCTCACTCGCAGCACCTCCTCCTTGAGGGAGGGTGCTGGCCTCTCACTCGCAGCACCTCCTCCTTGAGGGAGGGTGCTGGCCTCTCACTCGCAGCACCTCCTCCTTGAGGGAGGGTGCTGGCCTCTCACTCGCAGCACCTCCTCCTTGAGGGAGGGTGCTGGCCTCTCACTCGCAGCACCTCCTCCTTGAGGGAGGGTGCTGGCCTCTCACTCGCAGCACCTCCTCCTTGAGGGAGGGTGCTGGCCTCTCACTCGCAGCACCTCCTCCTTGAGGGAGGGTGCTGGCCTCTCACTCGCAGCACCTCCTCCTTGAGGGAGGGTGCTGGCCTCTCACTCGCAGCACCTCCTCCTTGAGGGAGGGTGCTGGCCTCTCACTCGCAGCACCTCCTCCTTGAGGGAGGGTGCTGGCCTCTCACTCGCAGCACCTCCTCCTTGAGGGAGGGTGCTGGCCTCTCACTCGCAGCACCTCCTCCTTGAGGGAGGGTGCTGGCCTCTCACTCGCAGCACCTCCTCCTTGAGGGAGGGTGCTGGCCTCTCACTCGCAGCACCTCCTCCTTGAGGGAGGGTGCTGGCCTCTCACTCGCAGCACCTCCTCCTTGAGGGAGGGTGCTGGCCTCTCACTCGCAGCACCTCCTCCTTGAGGGAGGGTGCTGGCCTCTCACTCGCAGCACCTCCTCCTTGAGGGAGGGTGCTGGCCTCTCACTCGCAGCACCTCCTCCTTGAGGGAGGGTGCTGGCCTCTCACTCGCAGCACCTCCTCCTTGAGGGAGGGTGCTGGCCTCTCACTCGCAGCACCTCCTCCTTGAGGGAGGGTGCTGGCCTCTCACTCGCAGCACCTCCTCCTTGAGGGAGGGTGCTGGCCTCTCACTCGCAGCACCTCCTCCTTGAGGGAGGGTGCTGGCCTCTCACTCGCAGCACCTCCTCCTTGAGGGAGGGTGCTGGCCTCTCACTCGCAGCACCTCCTCCTTGAGGGAGGGTGCTGGCCTCTCACTCGCAGCACCTCCTCCTTGAGGGAGGGTGCTGGCCTCTCACTCGCAGCACCTCCTCCTTGAGGGAGGGTGCTGGCCTCTCACTCGCAGCACCTCCTCCTTGAGGGAGGGTGCTGGCCTCTCACTCGCAGCACCTCCTCCTTGAGGGAGGGTGCTGGCCTCTCACTCGCAGCACCTCCTCCTTGAGGGAGGGTGCTGGCCTCTCACTCGCAGCACCTCCTCCTTGAGGGAGGGTGCTGGCCTCTCACTCGCAGCACCTCCTCCTTGAGGGAGGGTGCTGGCCTCTCACTCGCAGCACCTCCTCCTTGAGGGAGGGTGCTGGCCTCTCACTCGCAGCACCTCCTCCTTGAGGGAGGGTGCTGGCCTCTCACTCGCAGCACCTCCTCCTTGAGGGAGGGTGCTGGCCTCTCACTCGCAGCACCTCCTCCTTGAGGGAGGGTGCTGGCCTCTCACTCGCAGCACCTCCTCCTTGAGGGAGGGTGCTGGCCTCTCACTCGCAGCACCTCCTCCTTGAGGGAGGGTGCTGGCCTCTCACTCGCAGCACCTCCTCCTTGAGGGAGGGTGCTGGCCTCTCACTCGCAGCACCTCCTCCTTGAGGGAGGGTGCTGGCCTCTCACTCGCAGCACCTCCTCCTTGAGGGAGGGTGCTGGCCTCTCACTCGCAGCACCTCCTCCTTGAGGGAGGGTGCTGGCCTCTCACTCGCAGCACCTCCTCCTTGAGGGAGGGTGCTGGCCTCTCACTCGCAGCACCTCCTCCTTGAGGGAGGGTGCTGGCCTCTCACTCGCAGCACCTCCTCCTTGAGGGAGGGTGCTGGCCTCTCACTCGCAGCACCTCCTCCTTGAGGGAGGGTGCTGGCCTCTCACTCGCAGCACCTCCTCCTTGAGGGAGGGTGCTGGCCTCTCACTCGCAGCACCTCCTCCTTGAGGGAGGGTGCTGGCCTCTCACTCGCAGCACCTCCTCCTTGAGGGAGGGTGCTGGCCTCTCACTCGCAGCACCTCCTCCTTGAGGGAGGGTGCTGGCCTCTCACTCGCAGCACCTCCTCCTTGAGGGAGGGTGCTGGCCTCTCACTCGCAGCACCTCCTCCTTGAGGGAGGGTGCTGGCCTCTCACTCGCAGCACCTCCTCCTTGAGGGAGGGTGCTGGCCTCTCACTCGCAGCACCTCCTCCTTGAGGGAGGGTGCTGGCCTCTCACTCGCAGCACCTCCTCCTTGAGGGAGGGTGCTGGCCTCTCACTCGCAGCACCTCCTCCTTGAGGGAGGGTGCTGGCCTCTCACTCGCAGCACCTCCTCCTTGAGGGAGGGTGCTGGCCTCTCACTCGCAGCACCTCCTCCTTGAGGGAGGGTGCTGGCCTCTCACTCGCAGCACCTCCTCCTTGAGGGAGGGTGCTGGCCTCTCACTCGCAGCACCTCCTCCTTGAGGGAGGGTGCTGGCCTCTCACTCGCAGCACCTCCTCCTTGAGGGAGGGTGCTGGCCTCTCACTCGCAGCACCTCCTCCTTGAGGGAGGGTGCTGGCCTCTCACTCGCAGCACCTCCTCCTTGAGGGAGGGTGCTGGCCTCTCACTCGCAGCACCTCCTCCTTGAGGGAGGGTGCTGGCCTCTCACTCGCAGCACCTCCTCCTTGAGGGAGGGTGCTGGCCTCTCACTCGCAGCACCTCCTCCTTGAGGGAGGGTGCTGGCCTCTCACTCGCAGCACCTCCTCCTTGAGGGAGGGTGCTGGCCTCTCACTCGCAGCACCTCCTCCTTGAGGGAGGGTGCTGGCCTCTCACTCGCAGCACCTCCTCCTTGAGGGAGGGTGCTGGCCTCTCACTCGCAGCACCTCCTCCTTGAGGGAGGGTGCTGGCCTCTCACTCGCAGCACCTCCTCCTTGAGGGAGGGTGCTGGCCTCTCACTCGCAGCACCTCCTCCTTGAGGGAGGGTGCTGGCCTCTCACTCGCAGCACCTCCTCCTTGAGGGAGGGTGCTGGCCTCTCACTCGCAGCACCTCCTCCTTGAGGGAGGGTGCTGGCCTCTCACTCGCAGCACCTCCTCCTTGAGGGAGGGTGCTGGCCTCTCACTCGCAGCACCTCCTCCTTGAGGGAGGGTGCTGGCCTCTCACTCGCAGCACCTCCTCCTTGAGGGAGGGTGCTGGCCTCTCACTCGCAGCACCTCCTCCTTGAGGGAGGGTGCTGGCCTCTCACTCGCAGCACCTCCTCCTTGAGGGAGGGTGCTGGCCTCTCACTCGCAGCACCTCCTCCTTGAGGGAGGGTGCTGGCCTCTCACTCGCAGCACCTCCTCCTTGAGGGAGGGTGCTGGCCTCTCACTCGCAGCACCTCCTCCTTGAGGGAGGGTGCTGGCCTCTCACTCGCAGCACCTCCTCCTTGAGGGAGGGTGCTGGCCTCTCACTCGCAGCACCTCCTCCTTGAGGGAGGGTGCTGGCCTCTCACTCGCAGCACCTCCTCCTTGAGGGAGGGTGCTGGCCTCTCACTCGCAGCACCTCCTCCTTGAGGGAGGGTGCTGGCCTCTCACTCGCAGCACCTCCTCCTTGAGGGAGGGTGCTGGCCTCTCACTCGCAGCACCTCCTCCTTGAGGGAGGGTGCTGGCCTCTCACTCGCAGCACCTCCTCCTTGAGGGAGGGTGCTGGCCTCTCACTCGCAGCACCTCCTCCTTGAGGGAGGGTGCTGGCCTCTCACTCGCAGCACCTCCTCCTTGAGGGAGGGTGCTGGCCTCTCACTCGCAGCACCTCCTCCTTGAGGGAGGGTGCTGGCCTCTCACTCGCAGCACCTCCTCCTTGAGGGAGGGTGCTGGCCTCTCACTCGCAGCACCTCCTCCTTGAGGGAGGGTGCTGGCCTCTCACTCGCAGCACCTCCTCCTTGAGGGAGGGTGCTGGCCTCTCACTCGCAGCACCTCCTCCTTGAGGGAGGGTGCTGGCCTCTCACTCGCAGCACCTCCTCCTTGAGGGAGGGTGCTGGCCTCTCACTCGCAGCACCTCCTCCTTGAGGGAGGGTGCTGGCCTCTCACTCGCAGCACCTCCTCCTTGAGGGAGGGTGCTGGCCTCTCACTCGCAGCACCTCCTCCTTGAGGGAGGGTGCTGGCCTCTCACTCGCAGCACCTCCTCCTTGAGGGAGGGTGCTGGCCTCTCACTCGCAGCACCTCCTCCTTGAGGGAGGGTGCTGGCCTCTCACTCGCAGCACCTCCTCCTTGAGGGAGGGTGCTGGCCTCTCACTCGCAGCACCTCCTCCTTGAGGGAGGGTGCTGGCCTCTCACTCGCAGCACCTCCTCCTTGAGGGAGGGTGCTGGCCTCTCACTCGCAGCACCTCCTCCTTGAGGGAGGGTGCTGGCCTCTCACTCGCAGCACCTCCTCCTTGAGGGAGGGTGCAGGCCTCTCACTCGCAGCACCTCCTCCTTGAGGGAGGGTGCTGGCCTCTCACTCGCAGCACCTCCTCCTTGAGGGAGGGTGCTGGCCTCTCACTCGCAGCACCTCCTCCTTGAGGGAGGGTGCTGGCCTCTCACTCGCAGCACCTCCTCCTTGAGGGAGGGTGCTGGCCTCTCACTCGCAGCACCTCCTCCTTGAGGGAGGGTGCTGGCCTCTCACTCGCAGCACCTCCTCCTTGAGGGAGGGTGCTGGCCTCTCACTCGCAGCACCTCCTCCTTGAGGGAGGGTGCTGGCCTCTCACTCGCAGCACCTCCTCCTTGAGGGAGGGTGCTGGCCTCTCACTCGCAGCACCTCCTCCTTGAGGGAGGGTGCTGGCCTCTCACTCGCAGCACCTCCTCCTTGAGGGAGGGTGCTGGCCTCTCACTCGCAGCACCTCCTCCTTGAGGGAGGGTGCTGGCCTCTCACTCGCAGCACCTCCTCCTTGAGGGAGGGTGCTGGCCTCTCACTCGCAGCACCTCCTCCTTGAGGGAGGGTGCTGGCCTCTCACTCGCAGCACCTCCTCCTTGAGGGAGGGTGCAGGCCTCTCACTCGCAGCACCTCCTCCTTGAGGGAGGGTGCTGGCCTCTCACTCGCAGCACCTCCTCCTTGAGGGAGGGTGCTGGCCTCTCACTCGCAGCACCTCCTCCTTGAGGGAGGGTGCTGGCCTCTCACTCGCAGCACCTCCTCCTTGAGGGAGGGTGCTGGCCTCTCACTCGCAGCACCTCCTCCTTGAGGGAGGGTGCTGGCCTCTCACTCGCAGCACCTCCTCCTTGAGGGAGGGTGCTGGCCTCTCACTCGCAGCACCTCCTCCTTGAGGGAGGGTGCTGGCCTCTCACTCGCAGCACCTCCTCCTTGAGGGAGGGTGCTGGCCTCTCACTCGCAGCACCTCCTCCTTGAGGGAGGGTGCTGGCCTCTCACTCGCAGCACCTCCTCCTTGAGGGAGGGTGCTGGCCTCTCACTCGCAGCACCTCCTCCTTGAGGGAGGGTGCTGGCCTCTCACTCGCAGCACCTCCTCCTTGAGGGAGGGTGCTGGCCTCTCACTCGCAGCACCTCCTCCTTGAGGGAGGGTGCTGGCCTCTCACTCGCAGCACCTCCTCCTTGAGGGAGGGTGCTGGCCTCTCACTCGCAGCACCTCCTCCTTGAGGGAGGGTGCTGGCCTCTCACTCGCAGCACCTCCTCCTTGAGGGAGGGTGCTGGCCTCTCACTCGCAGCACCTCCTCCTTGAGGGAGGGTGCTGGCCTCTCACTCGCAGCACCTCCTCCTTGAGGGAGGGTGCTGGCCTCTCACTCGCAGCACCTCCTCCTTGAGGGAGGGTGCAGGCCTCTCACTCGCAGCACCTCCTCCTTGAGGGAGGGTGCTGGCCTCTCACTCGCAGCACCTCCTCCTTGAGGGAGGGTGCTGGCCTCTCACTCGCAGCACCTCCTCCTTGAGGGAGGGTGCTGGCCTCTCACTCGCAGCACCTCCTCCTTGAGGGAGGGTGCTGGCCTCTCACTCGCAGCACCTCCTCCTTGAGGGAGGGTGCTGGCCTCTCACTCGCAGCACCTCCTCCTTGAGGGAGGGTGCTGGCCTCTCACTCGCAGCACCTCCTCCTTGAGGGAGGGTGCTGGCCTCTCACTCGCAGCACCTCCTCCTTGAGGGAGGGTGCTGGCCTCTCACTCGCAGCACCTCCTCCTTGAGGGAGGGTGCTGGCCTCTCACTCGCAGCACCTCCTCCTTGAGGGAGGGTGCTGGCCTCTCACTCGCAGCACCTCCTCCTTGAGGGAGGGTGCTGGCCTCTCACTCGCAGCACCTCCTCCTTGAGGGAGGGTGCTGGCCTCTCACTCGCAGCACCTCCTCCTTGAGGGAGGGTGCTGGCCTCTCACTCGCAGCACCTCCTCCTTGAGGGAGGGTGCTGGCCTCTCACTCGCAGCACCTCCTCCTTGAGGGAGGGTGCTGGCCTCTCACTCGCAGCACCTCCTCCTTGAGGGAGGGTGCTGGCCTCTCACTCGCAGCACCTCCTCCTTGAGGGAGGGTGCTGGCCTCTCACTCGCAGCACCTCCTCCTTGAGGGAGGGTGCTGGCCTCTCACTCGCAGCACCTCCTCCTTGAGGGAGGGTGCTGGCCTCTCACTCGCAGCACCTCCTCCTTGAGGGAGGGTGCTGGCCTCTCACTCGCAGCACCTCCTCCTTGAGGGAGGGTGCTGGCCTCTCACTCGCAGCACCTCCTCCTTGAGGGAGGGTGCTGGCCTCTCACTCGCAGCACCTCCTCCTTGAGGGAGGGTGCTGGCCTCTCACTCGCAGCACCTCCTCCTTGAGGGAGGGTGCTGGCCTCTCACTCGCAGCGCCTCCTCCTTGAGGGAGGGTGCTGGCCTCTCACTCGCAGCGCCTCCTCCTTGAGGGAGGGTGCTGGCCTCTCACTCGCAGCACCTCCTCCTTGAGGGAGGGTGCTGGCCTCTCACTCGCAGCACCTCCTCCTTGAGGGAGGGTGCTGGCCTCTCACTCGCAGCACCTCCTCCTTGAGGGAGGGTGCTGGCCTCTCACTCGCAGCACCTCCTCCTTGAGGGAGGGTGCTGGCCTCTCACTCGCAGCACCTCCTCCTTGAGGGAGGGTGCTGGCCTCTCACTCGCAGCACCTCCTCCTTGAGGGAGGGTGCTGGCCTCTCACTCGCAGCACCTCCTCCTTGAGGGAGGGTGCTGGCCTCTCACTCGCAGCACCTCCTCCTTGAGGGAGGGTGCTGGCCTCTCACTCGCAGCACCTCCTCCTTGAGGGAGGGTGCTGGCCTCTCACTCGCAGCACCTCCTCCTTGGGGGAGGGTGCTGGCCTCTCACTCGCAGCACCTCCTCCTTGAGGGAGGGTGCTGGCCTCTCACTCGCAGCACCTCCTCCTTGAGGGAGGGTGCTGGCCTCTCACTCGCAGCACCTCCTCCTTGAGGGAGGGTGCTGGCCTCTCACTCGCAGCACCTCCTCCTTGAGGGAGGGTGCTGGCCTCTCACTCGCAGCACCTCCTCCTTGAGGGAGGGTGCTGGCCTCTCACTCGCAGCACCTCCTCCTTGAGGGAGGGTGCTGGCCTCTCATTCGCAGCACCTCCTCCTTGAGGGAGGGTGCTGGCCTCTCACTCGCAGCACCTCCTCCTTGAGGGAGGGTGCTGGCCTCTCACTCGCAGCACCTCCTCCTTGAGGGAGGGTGCTGGCCTCTCACTCGCAGCACCTCCTCCTTGAGGGAGGGTGCTGGCCTCTCACTCGCAGCACCTCCTCCTTGAGGGAGGGTGCTGGCCTCTCACTCGCAGCACCTCCTCCTTGAGGGAGGGTGCTGGCCTCTCACTCGCAGCACCTCCTCCTTGAGGGAGGGTGCTGGCCTCTCACTCGCAGCACCTCCTCCTTGAGGGAGGGTGCTGGCCTCTCACTCGCAGCACCTCCTCCTTGAGGGAGGGTGCTGGCCTCTCACTCGCAGCACCTCCTCCTTGAGGGAGGGTGCTGGCCTCTCACTCGCAGCACCTCCTCCTTGAGGGAGGGTGCTGGCCTCTCACTCGCAGCACCTCCTCCTTGAGGGAGGGTGCTGGCCTCTCACTCGCAGCACCTCCTCCTTGAGGGAGGGTGCTGGCCTCTCACTCGCAGCACCTCCTCCTTGAGGGAGGGTGCTGGCCTCTCACTCGCAGCACCTCCTCCTTGAGGGAGGGTGCTGGCCTCTCACTCGCAGCACCTCCTCCTTGAGGGAGGGTGCTGGCCTCTCACTCGCAGCACCTCCTCCTTGAGGGAGGGTGCTGGCCTCTCACTCGCAGCACCTCCTCCTTGAGGGAGGGTGCTGGCCTCTCACTCGCAGCACCTCCTCCTTGAGGGAGGGTGCTGGCCTCTCACTCGCAGCACCTCCTCCTTGAGGGAGGGTGCTGGCCTCTCACTCGCAGCACCTCCTCCTTGAGGGAGGGTGCTGGCCTCTCACTCGCAGCACCTCCTCCTTGAGGGAGGGTGCTGGCCTCTCACTCGCAGCACCTCCTCCTTGAGGGAGGGTGCTGGCCTCTCACTCGCAGCACCTCCTCCTTGAGGGAGGGTGCTGGCCTCTCACTCGCAGCACCTCCTCCTTGAGGGAGGGTGCTGGCCTCTCACTCGCAGCACCTCCTCCTTGAGGGAGGGTGCAGGCCTCTCACTCGCAGCACCTCCTCCTTGAGGGAGGGTGCTGGCCTCTCACTCGCAGCACCTCCTCCTTGAGGGAGGGTGCTGGCCTCTCACTCGCAGCACCTCCTCCTTGAGGGAGGGTGCTGGCCTCTCACTCGCAGCACCTCCTCCTTGAGGGAGGGTGCTGGCCTCTCACTCGCAGCACCTCCTCCTTGAGGGAGGGTGCTGGCCTCTCACTCGCAGCACCTCCTCCTTGAGGGAGGGTGCTGGCCTCTCACTCGCAGCACCAGGGTGCTGGCCTCTCACTGTTATAGTCACAATAGGCTTGAATGTGCCTAAAACGAAAGATAGAGAGCACAGACGGATTTCTGCACAGCGGCTTCAAACGTTGATAGCGTTCTGCTCACAGCTGCAAATGACTTGATTCAAATTGGATCTGGAGCGTCTTCACGTCGTCTACAATTAGCAATTTAGATTGCACGATTTGATAAAGAATTGACGAGACAGCGTCGGTTTGAACGAACGGTACTATGGCAGCCACTATAGTCTTAGAACACAAGATAGGAAGAGTTACGAGTTGGGAATGACTCCCACCTCCTACAAACCCCAAGAGCCGAGGTACAGTGATGTGGAACAGTGCCACACTGTCCCCAACCACGAAGGGTCTCGAAACTACCTTTCACTAGGGCCTACACCAAGTGAAATGTTACACTACACAAAGTAATGTAACTATCTTCAATATCTTGAGGTGTACCCTTTTGGCAAGCTTCGAAATCACTTGAGGCTTGACACCAAGGCTCGGGCTCTTCATCACAAACTCATCCTTGAGTTCTTGATGGGTCTGCTGCACACACCTGCGACACGCCGAACGTTCGACACAGGACAAAATAGAAACCGCGCACGACAAAATAGAAACCGCGCGCGAGACACAAACGACCGCGTAACACGCGTCTAGCGATAACTCGCTATTGACTCCACACACACACTCGACATCATGACTCAACATTCACACACAATTATAAGCATGAAATATATATTATCCCATGCCCTCATTTCATTCCATACACACACACATTCACGCACACGGACAACAAGCCGAGTGTAAACCGTAGGGTTGCACCAACAAACTCCCCCTCGGATTGTTGGCCTTAGGATATGTTGCTCTCTCAGTTCAGAGCCATCCCAGCCAGCTTGCAACACTTCCAATGCTGCTGCTCCACCAGCCTCTTGGTCATCATGTCAGCCGGCTGCCCCGTGGTCTTCACGTAGCGCAACTCAACTTCACCCGCGGTTACCATGCTCCTCGTCCAATGCCACTTCACCCTCATGTGCTTCGTGAGTCCATGCAACACAGGGTTCTTAGCAAGAGCAATGGCACCCTGGCTGTCACAGTACAGTGGGGTAGGTCCTTGCTGCTCCTCCCCCAATTCAGCCAACAAACGCCGCTGCCACACAATCTCCCGTACGGCACGGAAGAGTGCCATGTACTCGGATTCCACCGAGCTCAAAGCTTGGTCAACCTGCTTCTTGCTCTCCCAAGCAGTTGGGCCTCCACCAACACAGCATATGAAGCCTCCCACACTTGTCATGTCCTCTGGTTCTGATGCATATGAAGCATCCGAGTAGGCGGTGAGGAACAAACGCCCGGGTTCAACACCATCCGCGCCCTTTTGGCGCCTTTGAGCCGCCGCCGAATATTGCAGCCCAACAGTCGGTGTTTGGCCAAGATACTTGGCCACTCTCATTCCAGCTGCTACCTGCTCCTCATTAGGGCATTGAACAACCCTAGCCAACTGTCCGGTAGCAAACGCGACGTCCGGTCGGGTGTTTACCGCCGCGTACATGAGGCTGCCCACCAACGAGTGAAAACGGCGCCTCTCCTCTTCACCAACGCTCTCCTCCTCTGGTCCCTTCACACACTTGAAACCAGAGGGAAAGGGTGTAGCCACATGGCCTTCACTCTGCCCAAAGTTGGCAGCCAATGCCTCCAGGTACTTCCGTTGATGCACCCGCATGCACCGCTTCTCCACATCACGTTCAATGTGAAGCCCAAGGTAGAAGTTGACGTCACCAAGGGCCTTACACTTAAACTTGTCTTGAAGCTTCAGCATCACCTCCTTCACAAGGTCAGAAGAGGGTGAGAAAATGAGGATGTCATCCACATAAACCACCATGAAACTCCTCTGCTCCCCCTCGCCAAGCATGAACAAGGAGTGATCGGCCGTTGAGGGAGTGAAGCCGATCTCCTCCAAAACTCCTCGCAGCTTCAAGTACCACTGCCTAGGGGCCTGCTTCAGTCCATAAAAGGCCTTCTTCAGCCTCAAAACTCTGCCACTACCATCATCAAACCCCTCTGGCTGCGCCATGAAAATCTCTTCCTCAAGGACGCCATTGAGGAATGCCGTTGTGACATCCATTTGTTTCACCACCCATCCTTTGATGGCAGCTCCCGCGAGTAGGGTTCGCAGCGTCGTCGGCTTCACCACAGGAGCAAACAACTCCTTATAGTCCACCTTCTCCTTCTGCTGGTACCCCTTTGCCACAAGCCTAGACTTGTAGCGCTCGATCTTGCCGTCGGCGTCGGACTTGATCTTGAAGAGCCACTTGGACGTAATCGCCTTACGCCCCTCCGGTAGCTCCACCAATTCCCATGTGCCGTTCTCCTCAATGCTCTTCAGCTCACTCTCCATTGCCTTCTTCCACTCCTCAGCATCACTACTCTCCAAGGCCTCCTTGAGAGTTGCTGGTTCCACCGGCATCTCCACCGGAGAGAAGAACGCGAAGGCACACTCCTCGTAGTCACTCTCCTCGTCTTCTCCAACTATAAGTGCCGCTCCGGCCAAGGCTGACTTGGCTGGCTTTCCCAGTGCCTCATAGGTCAGCCTATTTGGGGCTTGGATTCTCCTTTTGCCCCTTCCTTCTTCCTCAGCTGCAGGGACATGAAGGCCTTGGCGTTGCTGCGGGGTGACTCGGATCCGTGGAGCACTCGTAGTGCGAGAAGGAAGTGTCGGTGCACGCTCGCTCACTTGCTGAACCTCCTCCTCTTCTTCCTCTGCATCCTTGGCCTCCTCTCCCCCATTCACAAGGGAAGATTGCCTTGTGGTGGTGCTGCCGCTGCTCAGCTCCAAGGGCAGCTTCACATGCTCCAAACCGGAACTCTTCACGTCCCCCAACCGCACGCCTATCTTCGCCTCATTCTCCGCCTTCCAATCCTTGTACATCAGATTCTCCATGAATTTGCAGTCCCTGCTCACCAAGAATTTCTTGGTGAATGGGTCCCAAAGAAGCCACCCCTTGCTGTTTTGAGCCATGCCCAAGTGCACAGCCCATATCGCCTTGGCACCGAGCTTGTTGTGCCGAAGATGCTTAGGCACGAGCGCCATGCACATGCACCCGAACACCCGAAGCATATCCACCTTTGACTTCCTTCCAATCCACTCCACATAGGGCACCCATTTGTCTGCTCCCACATGAGTCAAAGCTCTGTTCTTGGCCACACATGCACTCCGCACCGCATCAGGCCAGAAATATTCGGGTAGCCCGGCTTCAATGAGCAACCCGCGCGCCGTCTCCGTGATTGTCCGGTTCGCTCGCTCGGCGATGCCGTTCATTGCAGGGGAGTATGGCATGGTAAGGGAGTGCCTTATGCCATTCTTCTTCAGCCACAATCCAAACTCCTTGCTCAAGAACTCTCCCCCTCGATCGGTGCGGATTGCCTTCGCTAGCCGGTCTTGTTGCCGCTCCACCATCGGCAACCAATCGGTCTTCACCGTTTCAGCCACGTCACTCTTCTTGGACAGCACGTACACCCAAGTCATGCGAGTGTAGACGTCCACAATGGTGAGAAAGTACTCAGCTCCAGCAGCTCCAAGCTTCAGGGGGCCCACCACGTCCATCACCACCTCATCAAGTGGTGCCTTAGCCGTTGCCTCCGAACTAGAGAACGGGAAACGGGTGAACTTGGCTTGCATGCACGTCGGGCAGCCAAGTACCTCATCGGGCTCCCCCTTCACACGTATGCCAGCAACCATCTCATTCTTCACTAGCTGCTGCAAGATGGGCAGGGCCACATGCCCCATTCGCCGATGCAAGGTGAGCCAATCACACTCCCCCGTAGCCGAAGTCGGATTGGAGAATGCCGCACTCGCAATAGTGCCCCACATGTTCTCTCCGTACTCCTCCTCCGCTGCTGCCTTGGGGTTCTCCTCACCCTTGTGCTGCTTCTGAGCTGCTGCACCACTCTCCTCATGTTCACCGAGCTTGCTGGTCCCTCCAAGATTGCACTTCTTGGACTTTATCTCCTTAGCGCGACCGTTCGCGCCATCGCCGCTACCAACCGCTTCACCCTTGGTGCTGATGCTTGCTGCCACTTGCCTCTCCTTAGGCATGGGGACCACAGGGATTTGCCACATCTCGTTGTAGACATCCCTATCCTCGTGAAGGTCCCAAAGAATCCGCTCGCCAAGCCTCGCGGTGTAGGTCTTAGCTCCCTTCGAGCTCGTGTCCATGCCGGCCTTTTGCAACCGCCGCACGGAAATCAGGTTGGCAGCAAGGTTGGGCACCCAAAGCACGTTCTTGAGGCCCACCATCTTCCCATCAGCACCCTTGAACATGGCCTTGCGCATGCCTTTCACCTCTGCTCGCTGCCCCAAAGCCGATGTCACATGCTTCACCGGTGACGGCTCAAGTTCGGTGAGCAAGTCCGCACGAGGTGTCATGCTATAGGTAGCGCCGCTATCGATCACCCAATAGTCCAGGGAGTGTAGTGTGACCTTCCCCACAGCTGCTGGCTCCTCAAAGCTTTCATCATTCTCTGGACCAGCCGGTGCTTGCGTGGACACGAAGAAGAATTGACCCGGGAAGCGATCGCCCCTCGACTCGCTCTCGTTGCCGGCACTCTTCATACTTGCAGCACCACCTCCGCGACCGCCACGGCCTCCACGGCCTCTTCCTCTCCCTCCTCCTGCTCCTCTACCCTCTTGGCCTTGAGCAGGAGTCCATCCATCAGGGAGTTTGTAGCAATCGCGCCACATGTGTCCGCTCTTGTGGCAAAAATGACACTCGCCGTCGAACCGTCCGCGACCGCGTCCGTTGTTCTTGTTGTCATTGCCGTATCCGCTACTCCCGCGGCCTCCGTTGAAGTTGCTGCCTCCAAACCTTCCTCCTCCTCGTCCTCTGCCCTTTCCACG